AACTTGTCCCAACACTTGATCTAGGAGTTCCCTTGTCTTCTAGATTGGGTTCGAAATTACAAGGTTACTTTGATAGTCGTAAATTCAGAATTGGGTTGGCTGTTCAACGCCGGTTGTAAAATAAAATAATTATTGATGGTACCTTGCTCGGACGTGGTTACGAATTTTTCATTCCAAAGTTGAGATTTTTTTCAGTTTTTGCGAGTTAGTGAGAAGGGATTTTTCCAGATCAACACGGTATCCATTTATAGAATGATACCAGAGTTAGAATGCCTAATGCCAGGAAATCCATGGCTTTAAGAATGCCAACCTCAGAAACATGCGTTATCCAAAAAATACAGTAGCTGCAATCAAAAATGCTTAGAATTGAGTTATTTTAATTTCATTAATTTGAGGAAAATAGCAGAAAAAATGTGCAACTTCTTGACGCTTGGCTAATTACTCATTTTTTTTCGGTTGATGAAGAATTATTCAACGATATTACTAAGTTCAACGAACTGTAAAACAACCTCACTTAGATTAGCATGGGTCATTTAAAAAGAAGTTCAAGTCATAGATATCTACGTTCATACCACCTTTGTCGGGATAATATAGGTAATGCGCGATACTGACCTTCGTTGAATTAAGAATAGCCTATCGTTTACTAGCATGTCTGTGATTGTAAGGGCATCGTGTTTCAAATCTGTTTAAGTATTGTTTGTGATAGGTAAACACTATTATCATTTCATTTTTGATGAGATAATTTAACCGTATTGTTTTAAAAGAAATCTGTATAAGTCGAGCGAGCTATATGAGTTTACTTAAGCTTGAAGAAGGCTAAATTTTACATACATTCACTCTGGCGTTTCTAATGTTTTGTTTACTGAATTCTTTTTTCTACATAGAGTACTAATAATGCAGTATTTTTTATTTTATTAAACTCAATATTTTATGTATATTGATAATATATTGAATAATATAGAATATTGAGTATACACAGAGTGGTTCGCAAAGGGGTCCACAGATGTTTTCAAACAACTGGACAGCTCGCATGCGGAAAACCACCTGCCGGACAATCTTAAAGGTTAAGAAAATAGGACTTGTGAGAGCTGTCCGGTTTCTTGGAAAACATCTGAAAATAGTAAATATCCAAAGTACTTTTTTTGACAGAAAGCTTCGTTATATTATAATAAGTGATGCCTTAAAACGTGTAATTTATTCAACATGGACTAATATGTTGGAAACTCTTGCCTGTCTAAAAGAAATTCAAAATTTCCAATTAAACCGTCCCCATTTGCCTTAACGAAAGGGGAATCGAATAATAAGTGGGGGAGCTTACAGGTATCATTTATAGGGACATATCAAAGATCTTACGGAGAAAAAAAAAATTTAATTTTTCAGAAAAAAAGTCTATAATTTTACTGAACTTCATTCTCTTTAAAACTTTCTTCTAACTAAAAATGTTCTATAAACGCGTTTCTGAATTATTAATTATTGTTATTTTCGACTTGTCTCTCATCTTAATCCCTGGCTTTATGGATATGTAACTCATCTGCATAATGTTTCCGATTAATTATTTGAGCATGATTTTCATTTGTTACATGTAGATTTTTGAAAAATAGTTCTCAATCACCTTGTATACATATCGTGTATCAAAGCATACCCTGTATCCTAACAGCCTTGTATCCTAAGCGCAGCACAAGAGTGGTTTGATAATAAATTAGTACGGATGATTGTCACGTGAATCGCGTATCAGCAATATTAGCGTAATTACGTCGTATTGTGGATACAGGTTTAGGAGTGGAGTAAGTCAAGGGCGGAGAAAGTAAGGGGTCAGGACCCCAGTCGGGCATTTTGGCCTCCTATCGGGATGAACTTAAAAATCGTTGGGAAAATGCTGCCGTCTTGAGAAAAAAAAATACATCATACAATACAAAATACATCGATAACAGAAAAAATTGAGCTTGAAATTCACATTAAAATGAATCTATACATTATGGTATCAAAATTAGTGATTTTAGCTTATTAGAAACACACTTGAAAAAAATGATGTGAGAAAAAAAATTTTAAAGTATAAAATATGCTTTAATTTAAATATTTTGAATTAATTTGTTTGAGCCCTCTCTGTCGGGGGTGACTTGACCCGCTGTCGGGCAAAGTCTGGCGCTTGAAGTAAGTTAGAATGAAGTTTAGCTTAAGACTCAGTTAAAGCTTCAAAAACAAATATACATGAAGTGTCTTAGCGAAGAAAATTTTAACTTGAGTGCAGTTTTAAGAATTCTGTCGAAGAGAGCTAATCAGAACGAAACAAATCGTAAATTGCGTGCCATTTATGAGCCGAACATTTTAAACTCAATAAAGTCCTTGCAACCCCTCCGCGCCGTTGCCAAAGCGGAAATGGAAAGCTTTGCCACATCCTCTCTACTATCCAAGTATAGCCCCGTCGGTTTTTCATTCATTCAGACTTTTAAAAATATTTTGGGCGACCACGAGTTTAGCGAATTAGATGAATTTTCTGAAAACCTTTCTGTAACACTTCAATTACTTGAACTACAGCATGCCGTGAAGGGATGTTTCAAGTGCTGGTATAAATGCCTCAATGTTTATGGGGACTATGTCGATAATAAACAAAACAAAAATATATAGTTTTTGATTAGTTACTAAAATATTTTTTAAATTATAAATATTGGTGTAATTTTGCATCCTATCCATATTATCCATCTTACATATATTCAAAATATGTAAGTCCATATTCAAGTAATGTTATGACCCGAAATAGCTGCCCAAATAACATTTATAAAATGACGGTAAGTAAGATCCAATTGTGTGCAACTTTGACACCTGTTACCTGTCGGCGACTCACGATTAATAATGCCAACCGCTCTTACCAGTCTTAGTGTACTTGAGTTGGAAAAAATGTCAGTCTTTATACTATGATGTAGCTATAGATGATTTTCTTTGAACATTTCACCATGCATTGTCGAATTGTTCATTATTTTATTTTTTAACCGTCGTTGAACAGCCGACCCAATTTCATGGGTTTACGACTACTAATGTTCAACTCCGTAGCCTTGTAATTTTGAACCAATCCAGAAAACTCCTGGATCAGTACCCCCAGAGGTATTGATTTGTTGTGGGAACATGGAGGACTTTGAGACTCGACAGATTTAACGTGCATCAGTCACCATTTACTACACGGGGAGTCTTCGGCCGGCGAGGATCGAACCCACGACCTCTTGGACATGGGCCCAGCACCCTATCGACCAGGCTATCCCGGCTTTCGAATTGTTCATTAGAAAAAATCTTTGCTCTTGCGGTCTGGAAGAAATACAACACATTAGTCATGGTTACATTTTCTAACAATTAAAAAAGTATATGCCACGATGGTTCAGTGGATTGAGCGTTTGCTTTTCAATGAGGTGAACCGCATCCGGCTTGCACTGACCACAGTGCTGACGTGAAATATCCTCAGTGATGGTAGACGAATCATGGGTTAGAATCTCCTTGCCGTCAGGCTAACCGTGAGAGGTTCTCATGGTCTTCCTCTGCATGTTACGCAAATGCTGGTTAGTTCTATCAACAAGTCCTCCGCGAAGGCAAACTTCTCCCAATACTTGATCCAGGAGTTCCCTTGTCTTCTGGATTGGGTTCAAAATTACAAGGATACGGAGTTGAACATTATTAGTCGTAAACCCGAAATTGGATCTGCTGTTCAACGACGGTTATAAAATAATTTAAAATAAAATTTAACAGCTCTGGGAAACTTATCGAAATTTGAAACATGGGTTGTTTTTATACGGTTATGAAGGATATAAGTATTAAAAGTTTTAGACCAGTATTAAACTAAAGTTTAGACCTTGTATTAAAATATATGCTGAACGTCATACATACATACAAGTAAAGATAGAACAAATATATTTTAAAACAAACGAAAAAAAAATATTAAAATTTGAAAATTTTTAAAAATATTAAAAAGTTCGAAAACAAATAATTTCGTCAGCTCACACGATTATATCAGCAAATTAGAGTGATTTCTAATATAGTATTTCTATAGTAAAAGCAAAATATATCTATAAAATAGTGCGAGAAGAACCAACATATATATTGCTCAGGGGTTTAGTTTCTCAAGGTTTTTTGAGGTGCAAAAATAACATTTCCTCTTTTTTTTTTCCTTTATTTATTTCTCTTGAATACGTTGGTTTTGCCGTATTGAGTCAGTGCAGTATTCTACTATGCTACACTCATATCAATTCAATTGTTTTATCTTCAAAATTTATTATGGGATTATACGCACAATTGTAAATGAAAAATATTTTGTTTTTATTGCTATAATAGAATGGTGTAAAAACTCACCATTATTGAAGAAAAAAACAAGTAATAAATCAATTTCTTAAAGTATTTTGATCTTGGTAAGAAAAGTTTTGCATATTAACAATGATTGAAATTTGAACAATAGACTAATTGATAGTTAAAAGACGATTTGGTAATTCCGAGAATAATATTATATTTTACGAATTTTGTTGATAATATTCAAATGCTATTTCAATATTTAAGTTTATAACTTATTATGTTAATGTTTATATATTTCTGGAATAAATAAATAAAATATTTTGTTGTATTTTCTTTGCTTAATGTTTCCTAATTCCGTCAGATTTAAGTTTTTTGAAAATTTTATGCATTATAAACTATTAGTATAATATAAACTAAATAATAATAACATACAGTGGAGTCTAAAAGTTTGAACATGAATGAATAGTACAAATGTATTTGGTTTGGAACAAAAGTAGAATTTTATCGTTTGATAATAAAAAAGAAAGTCTAGCATGCTTTCTACAGTGATGGACGATTCAATATTGTTTCGAATATTCCGAAATGAATATTAAAACAAGAATCACGTGACAGGTAGGCGTAGACCTTTATTTCGGGTGAGACAGGTTGTGCGTGTCAGTAAAAGAGAAAGAATAAAAATAATAAAAAAAATCTCAGGAGCTACAAGCGAAACAGCGCATGCGCTCATTTCGTCATTTCAAATTTCTGCCTTCGAACTAGCAGACGAAGAGTTCGGTAAAACAATTCTTTATGTTATGATAGAGTAACATTTAGTTGAAGACGTTTTCCACCTGTGACCGAGTTTTGTTGTTGTTCCGAGAATAAATCGTTTTCAAATTAATGATTCAAACGTTCTAATTTGGTTCAAGTTCAGGGAAACGATCAATACTCAGCAAAATATTAGTTTCATTAGATATTTTCCGCATTTTATTTAAAAATACAAGATTATTTTTAAATAGATAAAGACTTTCAATCCTTAATATGATCGATATAAATAATTTCGAATACTTGGATAACAAACGATTGTCCTTGAAACTTTTTCTGAATTCCGAATTGTAAAATAATTTTATTTGTTTTTGTTTCCGATCAGTATCGGCAGCTGTTTTCTGCACGCAACAGATAGTATAGCGGTAAGTCAATCTTAAACTTTGTCATCTTTTTTGTTTAATGTTGAAGATATGTACATATTTTCGAAATCGGAAAATTAATTCATTTAATAAATGAATATAATTACTTAAATTGAATAATTATATTTGTTTGAATGTGTTCATATTTTTTCTTATATGTACTGCCAACAATTTTGCGATCTGTGATTCGTCAATTTTATTTATTTACTTTTTATTATTATTGTTGTATGTTATTTGTAAAACAATTAATTTAAAGAATCCTGCGAATGCATTTTTGAAACGAATGCGTATGATGAGCTATTAGTTTGCTTTTATTTATAAAACACTTTGTTCATGAAATGATACATATATATTTTGGTAAATTTTTGTTTATTTATTAATTATTTTATATGTATTTATTTTATTCGGATTATTATCGAATTATATTATTCGAACTATATATTTTATTTGAGCTAAGAATTTTTAAAACTTTTATACAAATAATTATCAACATTTTAATATTTGAATATGGAATGGCAAGTAGCACACCAAAAGTACTTTGAGAACAAAATGGAAATTTTTACAACTTAATATTTTTTAAACTACTATAGGTTTTCTACGAGATTTTTAACTTGTCTGAAACAAAATTACGACTTTCTGTTCTGTATGAATATTCACGTTTGTAGTAGTTTTTTTTATCAAAGGTAGTTAGAAAAATTTCATTTTAACTATAACTTTCAGTATGTGCCAGTTTAGTATATGATAGCCAGTTTAGTATTAGTATATGCAATTGACAGTCCTATACTTGATGTGTGGCTTTTTGACTTAAAACAGAGATGAGATTCATTTGGTTCGAACACACCCTTCATTAAAATTTCCTGATCTTAAAATCTGAGTTTAAGCACCCGCAATGATTTTTATTAAAAATTAAAACCATATTCATTTTATAACTGAAACAATTCTGAAATCAGTAGTAGTTTTTATTTTTATGGTAGGAAATTGGTGATTAATGATTCATAAATTATTTCCTCTAATTTAAATTGATTCTACTGTTTAAAGAAATATTTTGTGGGTTTTGCTAGAACAATTTCAACATTTTTACGAAAAAATAAGGAATTCGTTACAAGGTATGTCAAGTTAAAACGCTATCAAATACGTTAAACAAAATTGTTTTCAACGAAATTTTCAGTGAATAATTGCAGGCAACAATTTTTATTGGTCAATAGTTAAAGAAAATATTGTTTTAAAAATTACAACTAAAATTCAAGTGAAAAATAATTGCTATCAGCAATTTTTTTTAATGTACTTGTTAGCGAAGCGAAAATCCAAGTGAACCTGGTGTCGATTCTTCAATACATTGAATCCCATTACTGCTTCAATAGATTCATTTTAAATAACGTGATTTGTAGATTTATTTTCGCTATTCAGTGAGCCTTTCTTATTATTTATTATTCATTCTCACTGGCTTCAGGATACATTTTGTCCCTTCTTTGTAGATGGCTTTTGAGATAGTAATTAGTCCAATTACTGCCTTTGTTTTTTTTAAATTTATTTTGCTGGCTGGATAAGTGCAGTCTACTTTATTAAATCTAATATTTCCATTTTAAAATTCGTTTAAATTTTCTCGAGCTTTACTTTCTGTGAAGACTTTTAGTCGGAAGCTTTTGTTATATAAGATTATGAGATTAATTATGGTAAACGCATTTGCTATTTTTTAGTTTTAAGATTTTATAAATTTAGTTTGAAGTAGATGCATTTGAATTTTTTTCTCTTTCCTTAATTTATTCAAATTTTATTATTTTTACCATAAATGATAACAGAATTTACTTTGCCAGAAAAAATAATTATCTTTTTTTAGAGATATATTTTAAGATATCAAAATTAAAAAAAATTATTTACATTTTGTTTTGAATTTTGATAATTTTTTTTAAACAACTCCCAAACCCTTTTGAAAAGAAATACCTCCTATGTTTAAAGAATGGTTTTATTATTTTAATAGTATTGAACATTGAAACAAAATTTTACTAAAAAATGTTTGTTTTTCAATGTTATTCCAATTGTGCTAAAAAAAAACAACAATCTTATTTTAATGTGTTTTTTTAACTGTAACAAACGTTAAAAACTCCTGGTTGTTATTTTATCCTAAAATTCTTTTTAAAACCATAAATGACAAAAAAAGCAAGGGGTTCATATTTATATAAAACTACATTTTTTAATTCCATTGAAATTAAATAGTTTTGTCCGATTCTTGTACTTTAAGTGAAATAAATAGACTGTGACAAATGTGTTCTATTTTTGAAGCCTTTTAGTAATCATTACCGTTGAGTTACTTTTTTTATGTTTCTTCTACCCTTCATTAAACAGCATAAAGACTACAACATAAACGACTTCTTTTAAGGCATTTTATAGCTACGTCAGTACAATAGAATAACATTTATAAATTACATGTTACTTGACGCAGACCGGTGTAGAAATAACTTCTGTAAGAAAAAAAATTTAACAGGAATAGCAAAACTTTTGATAACAATAATGGGTAAAACAACTAACTGTCATACACGTGTTTGGAAAGATTCTTGCTTGTCACTGTTCGAATTTTAATTCCAAAATTACGGTAAAATAACAGACAGCATTCTGTCCGACCAATCAACCGTTAAGTTTACGGTAAAGAAATTTTTTTTTACTGTTGAAACAGTTTGCAACTAATTTGGTTTTTTAGCCATTTATAACTAGCATGGTTTCAAAACAGGTAAAGAAGAAACTTAACTGGGCATAAGAGCTAGGCTTTTCATTAGGCAAAATCCCTAATGAAAATTAGGTGGAATTGTGTTTTATCAAAAGAACCATGGAATGTGGTTTAATTAGTTAATTTGGTTGTTTCACCTATCGTAAGACATGGGAAATACATACTATACTTTTTTGCATTAAGCATCATTATGGTGCTGCTATCTATGCGTGAATGAGAGTATCGTATTTTAATACTCCAGGGTCACAAATTGGGGAGTGCAGGTCATTAGAAACTCTTCATGTGTTGAAGGGAATGGATGAAATACTATGATTCCAACGCTGGAACTCGAATCCCTGTTCTGTCTGTCATGAGATTGACAAATTAATCTTCTCGGCTATAATGTGTACCCAGCTTCAAGGGACTTAATGTGGCTTCATCATGTGGGCGTTGGTGAGATAAAATTCTGATTGTTTGACCGTATTAGGTGAAAGCAGTTAACAAACGGGTTTTTCTCACAGTTAACTTCTATACCATCTTATTTATGGTTATTTGACTGTTTTATTTAAATATAATAAAATAAAAATTAATTAAATTATTTAGCCATTTTTCCCGAGAAATTTTAATCGTGTACTTAAAAATTTTTTTCTTCTTCATAAATTCGGTAAATAAAATTTCAGCTCGCATAGTGAACACCCTGAATAACTTTTGTTCTAATCATCGGATTTTCACGTATTAGGACTCAATCTTAACAGTTCAATTACCTAACCTGAAATATGCAGATTAATTAGTTAAGGCGATATTTTTAGTTACGAAATCTGACACAAAAACGTACTTTCTCTGAATAAAGATACCTTCATGATATTTATTACCTGAATAAACATAAATTTTTTCGACGGATCGAATTTTTACTTGTACGATTTATTAAAATTAAAAAAACTCATAAATTACTTTTCGACCGATTTTGTTCAAACTTTGTATTTTGCCATTTAAAATTGAATACTTTTAAATGATGCAAATTTTCTTATACCTTACAATTCAAAAGTTTTTCGACTATTAATAAGAAAAATAATAATTATGAAAAGTTATTTTTTTAATGGATAACGAATTTTTAATTAGTTATTTTTAGGAAGTTATTTTTTTACTTTGGATAAACGAATTTTATCTTTACATGCAAAAATTTTTCGATTCGCTTAAAAAGTTTTTGAGATAACGAACAAAAGCAAAACGTGAAATGAACGTTAAAGAGTAATAACTTTCAACTACTCTTCGACTTAAACTGTCGGGACCATTTTTACCAAATTACGACTTCTCCACCGTATTTTAGGAGTCAGGTTAGGAATCATAATCCGCCGGGGGAAAAATATGTTTATTCAGAGAAAGAACGTTTTTATGTCTAATTTTGTAACTTAAAATATCGTCTGCATTAATTAACCATTTAGATTGAATTAGTTTTAATACATAGAAATCCGATCATTAGATGAAAAGGTATATAGGGTGTAAACTTTTTTATTTAGCTCATTTGGTTTAAACTTCGTCTAAGTTTTTTCTTTCCCCCTTGTAACTACATTAATGACTTGAAAGATAAGCTTTTCTTATTTGCCTGTTTTAAAAATAGTTTTTGTTTCAACATTTTTGCTTATTATTTCACACGTGCAATATCTGGAAAAACTAATAAATTTACTCTATCGGATTTTACAATATCTTGATGCGTTTTCTTTGCATTTCGTTTGTTTGATAAATCTACTTCATTCCATTAAATATTGCAGGAAACTACTTATACATTTGTTTTTTTTTTTTTTTAAAAAAATACGTTGTGAATGTGATGTTATGCACTGAAAACGCTAGATTATTCAATTTCAAAAGTGATTTTTGTATTACAAATGTTTTTATTTGTAGTAAAACTCCTAATCCCTATATTATTAAAGAAACACACTTTTCACTGATCCTTTTTTTTTTCTTTCCCCCTTTATAATCTTTTCCGCTTCTCTGCTCCGTTGCATTTAAAACTTTCATCTGCAAAACCTTTTCATCATTCATCTTGTCTGATTTTCCTTTCTATGTAATAGCCACGTGTAGTTCGCTGACCTGTTAACTAAGTTTTAACAGGGGTCTGTCCAGACATTTTGTGAAAGGTCCGTTTTTGTAAAATTGTGAAAAAATTACTCTTAATTTGTGAATATAAAATAAACGTTAAGTCACATTCTTTCAACCAGGGTCCGCTTTTGTGAATGTGTGCAAATAGGGTCCGTTATTGCAAAAAAACTTTTTCAAGGAGTTTTTAAATTGTAAAGATATACAA